GAACATCTGTCAGAGGCATGGAGGTCTGTGCGCCCGTCCAGCATGATGTCTGCTTAAACCATCAAATTTCCGCTGCCAGACAGGTCCTTTTCTCGAATGGAGGAGGACAGAAAGCGGATTCCTGATTTTTTACAAAACAAGGTTAAGCCGCAGATCAGTGGTTAGGCTGAATGCGGAATCATCTGGGAAGAGCAGATCTCCTACTGATGCTTGGTCCAAAGTTAACGTTCCGTGCACCATGCTAAATGAGCTAGCTCTCTTGTACGCAGAAATAAGTGAGACGCAAACAGTTAGCTTCTTGAAAACAAATGAAGTATACATGTCTGCTGTATATATCAGCCTGTGCTCATTTGAATGTTTTGGCATATCTAACATTCTCGAAACAATTACAGAAATGCATATTAGAAGGTCCTCGTCACTTTCAACGAAAATGCCATACACCAGGTTTTTTTTTTCATGTTATCCAAAAAGAAGTGATTCAAAAATGTTTCCGGTGATTTTGCAAGTCGGAGAACAGATCACCAAGCCCGATTTATAGATGCTCAAATATCATGTTTAAGTGATGACGAATGCATGAAAACAGGTTTCCAAACCTGCACTGCTATTATGGTTTCGGTCTGTCTTGGTGAAACCTATATCTCTCAGAAGTTTCCATACGCTTAGTTAAACCACCCTACATATAAACAGAATTCTGAAGGCATTATTGGAGAAGTCAAACAATAAGAATCAGAGTAATATTTATAAATTTTGCAGAACTAATTTCGATGATTTAACTACAGAACCATTTTCCTTAGCTGCCTAAGTGAAAATGCTTCTGTAGTTAAACCATTGTCCAGCTAAATTTACAAATATTATGCTGATTATTGTTGTTTGACTCAATAATCATTATTCGACGAGCTGTTTTAACCTAAATTATTCTGGAGGCATTTTGAACTTTCTAATTCTTCTAAGGTATCCTTTGCAAAAATACTAATGTTAACTTTATGCGTTGAAATTTCAAATGCCACTATATATTTGCATGACAATAAAAGATATTTCATATTTTGTCATTTACTTTCTATTGTTTTACAGAATTTCATTCCCTCTTTTGAAAAGCCTTGTATTCAAATAATTTTTATTAAAAGCCTAACAAGTTCTCAATGTGAACTGAAAATTTAATTTTGGAATAGGTCAGTATCTAGGCACATAGCTACATTTCGCACAATTAAAAAAAAAATCATATTTTTACGATGTTTCTCGAAGACACATTTTCATTCGGAAAAGGAACGTTTGGGAAAAAAACAATCCTTTTCCTTTTAGTCAAATTGATTTTTTTCCTGCCTTCTCATAAGCAACAAATTGTACACGAACTTGAAAAATGCTTCCTAAAGTATTCAACGCTTAGTATATCAAGATGCAAAGGGTATTTACATATCAAATTATGCGTCGAGCAAGAGGGTCATGCTGCCAGACAGACGTTGAATTATTGAAAGATTAAAAAAATTACTGTCATGGACTTTTACCTCTCAATCTACATGAGTATTTACAAAATACTTTTTTTATTTAAGGCATTTTAGAATGAAAGGTTAAATTAACTAACTCTAAAACTTGTTTAAACTTCCGCAGACGTTACGTCTTTGAATTTAACTAGAAGTTCAGAGTTCTGAAAACACAGACAACATATATAAAGTCTTAGAAATACTCCGCTGACATAGATACAACAAAACAAATAACTTTAATAGCTAGACAATTCAGCTATTCTTTCCAATTCAAATTTGAGGTTAGAAATTAAAAATTAAGCAAGAATGCCTAAGACAGGGGTTCTCAGACAGGAGGAAAATCCCCCCCCAGAGGGAATTACATAGATTCAGGAGAATGTGGTCAGCCACTAGCTGTTAAGTGTTTGCTTTTAGTTTATAAATATAAAAAACTACTTTTATTCAAGTTGTGGAATTTAACATTTTCTATTGTTTTTGTTTAATTTATAAAACACATTAGAAAATTATCAAAAAATTAATAAATGTATATGTGTATTTTTAAAGTTTTGGAAGGGAGGGACAGAATGATCTAACAATGGTGAAATTGGTGCATGGGGCAAAAAATATTGAGAACCATTGGGCTAAGATAATTCACATATAAACAGGTTTTTAAGAATAAAGCTGGTTTATATTCAAATTCTGGAATCATATCGTCAGAGGTGATGCCACAGAAAATAAACAATAAAAACAAAAGTTCAGGAATTTATTTCAAAATTTTAATAGCGTGCAAGATCGTTACAGCTGCTCAAGTTATGTCTTTTCATCTTACAAACAACGAAATGAACGATAGGAATATTAAAATGACATTAAGCAAGGTAGAAGGAATATTCGCAGAGCTGATGGAAAAACTTTGTCTAAGGAGTCTGGTCAGAGTTCGATATTATTCCGACAGTAAAACGGCTGTAGAAAAAATGGTGGTAGATACAAAAAACAATCCCCAGAGTTCAACACTTGATGGTCTCACAAGAAGGAGCCATCGCCTTTCAGCCGAATAGGAACTATGTTCAGAAGTCATGGTTTACAACGATCAAACAATCGCATAGATTACTTTCCCAATATAAAATCGTATAGAACGTTCCTTTATCATCCATTTTTAGCTGTCTTTACTTACAGTGGTAGCACTTGACTTGGCAACATCACAATGGAATAAGAAGGTCGGTTTACAGAAGAAAGTTGAGGCTCAGTAACGATTCTGGATGTTCAAGAAGCAGTAATCCAATTAATATTTTATAATCGCATTCCCACGAGCTTCTTCGATGAGTAGCATCATCAGAACAATTATGAAATGCCAGCGATAAGGCTACATGTTTACCCAGCTTTTAAACGACAAGGTGTAAATATATATCTGCATGATCATAACACCCCCATCAACAACAAGCTGACTGTATACATGGATAGTTCATGTATGGAAGACAAAGTTGGCAGCGCACTAGTTTTTGACCACGGACAAGAAATCTTACACCTATGATGGTCCAGACTAAACGAGAACAACAGGACGTTTCAGGCAGAAACTGTAGCTATTTACAGAGTTACTCTTCATCACTCAATCAAACCCACAAGATATCATCATACACACAGGCAGCACATTGCATTGGTAGTTCTATATACACTGAATATTATTACACATTCCCACTAGTTACGCAAATCCAGAGAGGTTTACGGAGGTATAAACATCATAACAGTATGCTCTCCTGAGCACATACTGGGCTGAGTGACGATGAAATCGCTAACATATTAGCCAAGAAGGCAGCATCAGTAAATATTCATTATCTACAACCAGCACTTTGGCCGCGCTCTTTCTTGAAGAAACAACTGAAACGTAAGGTACAGATCAAATGGGAAAAAGAAAATGTGAACAAATCCGCCGCAGATACTACCACATCACGTACATAGATGACAAATACAACATTTCTTCCCCACACAGTCAACAAGATTTGTTACAAGACACAATTCTTCACTATTTTTAATAGACACGGCATAAGCAACATCGAATCTTGTGTTTGTGAAAAAATGGTATCCAAGACCATTATCTTACCATCTGTCCAATTACGAGAAAAATCCGTCTTAAAATACAAAATAACAGTTTTCTGGTAAAACAATGTCATCCGGTGGCAAGGATCACTCGAATTATAATCTGGTAATTATCACTATAACAGCTACCGAACTATACCTTGTTACTTAATTATTTTTTAAACAGAAACTGTGCCTAGAGTCAGAATTGAATATTCACTCAGTTTGTTTCTATAATGTGCACCATTGTAAAGTGTATGTCATGCTGTTGTAAAGTATTTTGAGTGTCTGAAATTATGAAATAATTACGTAAATTATATAATTTTGTTCTGAGCTCCAACGACAAAAATATCTTAAAATATTATTTAATGAATCTCCTATAGCAAGACTTGGTGGGACACGAGACCTAACCTCGTAAGATATTAAGTTTTACTAACGTTTATTTTATTTTAAAACTTTGCTATCCTCTCTTCTTTTCCATTTCCGGCTAGAATAAGCGCGGGTAGATTTGTTTATGCTAATGAGGTGGCAAACTGTATAGGTATTTAAGATGTGGCTTTTAGCCAAGAGAAGAGAGAGACTACTTGCTGCTTTACCACGCGCTTGCTATTCAGTCAGTTCATGTCTGTTAGACAATAAGAGCTGGTCTCTGTATCCCGAATTGCGACAGCGATTGTAGGCTGTGGAAAATAAGGGTAAAGTTAACCCTTCTTATTTGTGTCGCTTGTCCTACACACACACATGAGTAAGTTTGAGTAAGCTCCCTGCTCCCATTAAGGATTAGTAAATGTTTCCAAAGGCAATTAGAAGGAACAGCAGTCCTGACAACCTTTTGGTAGAATAATGATGTCTCCGCCTCCTGTCAACTGTCCACGAAATTACTTCGCAAATATAAGCGAGAGGGGCCTCGCGTTTATGGATGGTAATGCGATCTTGTAGATATTATCCGTACTAGCAGAAATACTCACGAACAATTCAGACCGGCGTGTTTTAAGTTTCCCTACGAATTAGGAGATAAGTTTCATGGCGTAATGATTTTCATCATTCTTTTTTTTCTTTTTTTTTTCTTCTTATTTTCTATAGTTTTAAAGAAGCAGAAAAGGTGAAAGAATAAATTCATTTCAACTCTTGGGAAAATAATAAAATCTTACAACCTAACCAAATCACCCAACAAAAAACGCTTTCGTGAACACCTTAAGACGTACGCTTTCCCACCTAGTAACTCTACTAACATAAGACAAAATATTTTAATGGAATATCAATGAGCATTAAAGCTTCCGTATTTTAACTACAACAACGTGGTTATTAGAGTGTTTTATTGCTAAATAATGTTGTAATGTAATAATAAAATTTTCTCGAAATAGATGAAACATTTTGAGACAAAACTTACCTATGATTGTTGATGAATTATCTTGCAAGCTATCACACATCAGAGAACCCGATTTCATCACAGGGAACAGTTCCGTCATGTAACGCTTAGCGAGTTCTTTGTGTCCACAAGAATCATACACTTGCAAACCTACAGAATAAAGACAAACTTAAAAAACGCGTAATATTATGTGCAGAAACAAAAAAGCAAGACAAGAGTGCAAAACCTAACAATGAAAAGCTAACCATTTACCAATCAATATTTTAAAGCAATTTAAAAATTTATGCGAACTACAATTATCGCATTTATAAATTTTAGTTACTTTCTTCTGAAATTAAAGTACGAAGCTTGAGAAATATCACGAAATACTTCTTTATGGTACATTTGATAGAATTCGAATACTGCGCGAACAGTTTCGAAGAAAACTTATAACTGTCTTCATCATGACATTAAAACGTATAATTTAGATTCAGATAACAACAACAAAAAGAACGTAGCAGAAAAATGGCAACAGCACCAGATTAAATGAAGTAGATTGAAGGATTACGTGGAACGTAGGCAGACCTTGACAGATTTCAGTACCTCAAAAGAGATCACGACGCATCCAAATAAAGATAGGGGCAGAAATATGACGGCTAAGGGCGAACTAAATTAACAACAATTCGTGAAAATCATACGTGGAAGGCACGGAAAATCTGGGATATTTCCAGAACAAGTAATAATGAAAGAGCCAAGAAATGTGGTAATCAATTCAGATAAAACAAAATGTAGAATAATCATACCTGGAACTTGGAATACCTTTAAGAGATGCACTGAACGAATGGATAACGGGAGAGATTTTCTAAAGAAGCTTTTCATTGTTTCCAAACGGATCGTGATAGACCTAAACAGAAGCCGTATGTGGAACGTATGGAAAGCCAGAGAAGGTTCCAAGAGATGTTCTTTACTGCTCCAAAAGTTAGAGTGGTATACAAATTTTAATAATCGTATACGTGGAACGTATGGAAAACCGGAGAGTGTTTCTAAAAAAAAGACCTTCGTGGCTGCAGAGGAAATTATGCTACGTCCAGGTAAATGGCATGACAAAGCCAGATTAAATAAAATAGGTAGACGTCGCACGCAAAATACATAAAGAATCTGTCAAACATCAAGGAGAAGCTTTACAGTACTATAAAAAACAAAGATCATAACAGGCAAAAATAGATGAATTTATCTATCCAAGACACGTTAAAGACGATCTTTTCAACGATGGTAATGAGAGTTAAAGGTTTTAAGATCTTTTTTATAACTTAAGAAATTTCTCCTACATAGAAAAAAAAAATTCAAAGTTGTGTCCAATGCAGAAAAATATAAAAATTTCTCACAATTTTTGGGATGTTATGTGCTGTCGATTAGCAGGCTTTATACTTCATTCACGTATGCTTTCATTGCTTTGTTTAGTATAGATTTCCAAATACAGATTAAGTTCATGTCTTAGACAATGAAGTACATGAAAAGGAGCCTGCATATCCTTCCTGATATTATAATTAGACATATTTTAAGTTAATCTGTAAATGAAATATGCATTTACTCAGCAGAATTTCTTGACTTACCTAGCTTAACACCTGGGATGAAAGAATCTGTAACAGGAGTGCCACCAAATTCTCCAGACTTCTGATTGAGAGCACTGATAGCCCACCTCAAGGATTCAAAATACTGCACACCTTCCGTGGACGGTTGGCCACATCCGAAGATACCCTGGCCCGGGTGGTGCAGCTGAAGAACGCCACCGACCACCACATCTGCCTCGGATTCAATTTGAGCAAGGTTAGGTTCACTGGAGGGACAAGTGTCTGATGAGAAGCTCTGGGACTTGGCGAGGCTGCAAATGCCTGCCAGAAGTAGAAGCAGATGCAAAATTTTCTTTCTGGCCTTCGCCATTTTGGCTACTGGAGAAAAAGAAAAAGCAGTGTGAGGAACAATGAACTCAAACATATGCATAATGCTTCAAATTCCATAAACTCTTTTAACTTTTAATGCAGAACATGATCTCAATTTTTATGATAATGTGTTGAATATATTAACTGGCAAATATAAATAAATTCGCAGAAACATAGATGAGCATCCAAAAAAATCACAAGATTCATTGGCATTTCAGTCGGTTACTGAAAAAACGCTAACTTGCAATAACATAAACATAAATAATAACAAGAAAAACACGCTAAACTTGCATTAACATGTGGTGAAACTCAGCCTTGCGTTAGAGTTATGAAGTTTTTTATGTATATCGTGTGAACATGATACAGGTCTTCCTTCTTCAAAGAAGGAAATTATCAGCGAAGTGAAGACTGGCTCTAGCATCGTTTTCTTCTAGAAAGAAAACATAACCATGCCAGTTTCATTAGAAATATACAGAGGTTTCCTACCAATTAACCGTAACGGTAGAGGGATGGTGCCCACGTCCTCCGTCACTCACTCACTCTAATACCAGTACCAGTTTAGGTCCGAATTTTGTGTAATTATAATAGCTCATGAATATTTCATAGAAATTCATCAATTTGTTTCGCATTTAAAAATGACGGAACGAAGCATAACATCTGGTAACGGGTTAAACACAGTTTACACCGTTGCCTCTTTTAGATTTTTGCTGCTTTTTGAAAAAATAACTTATTTAGCCTTTACTTACTGATTTCTGAAAAAAATAACTTTCTTATTTACTTTATTTACTGATTTTTAAAAGAAATAATCTGCCTTAAATGCAAAAAAATTACATTAAATTAAAATTTAATTTAATTTAAAATAAACTTGCTTTGCATTTAAAATCAAAGAAAGCGAGAGAACGGCTTTTTCTCATTGCGTATTTTGCATTTTTGCTTTTTTTTTTTTTTGAAAAATCAATGTGCCTTATCATTATTTAAATTGAATTTAAAATCAACCTATTTTGATATAAAATTATTAAAAGCGATAAAACGACTTATTCCCTTGGACTTTTACTGCGTTTTGAAAAATTGCTGTGCCCTATGTTATTTAATAACGTTAAAACTGCTATTAGTTTCAACATGATTGACTTTTGACAGCTTTAAAAAGACGCTGCCAATCGAAATATTTTTCAAAAATTAAAAATTCATTCTTCGTATCTAATGAATTCAAAATTATCGAGCCAATGAAAAAAGATTATTCATCCAGAACAAAGTGAGGCAAACGACTGCGACACAGTAACATACCCCGATTGCTGTATCAAGCGTGGAATGTTTTTGCAACGATACTCATCTCTCGTTCCATAATCAGTCTGAGTCATTCGTTACATCACATACGATCCATGAAATGACAAGATAATCCCCACAGGAATGGGGTCAGACCCTGCGAAAAGAATCGACTAAAGTTAATGAATTGAGGGAAACGTTTATGATTGCCCCATACAAAAGTTAAGACTTTCTTTCAATAAGTTGGAAAATCATATATATTATTTTCAAAATTTAAGTTTACCACAAAACGGAGACTTCCTTTCAATAAGTTTGAAGATTATGTATTATTTTTAAAATAAGCAAAAGACCATTACGTTCAAAAACGCGGCTTGCTTCAACAAGTTTTAAGATCGTATGTGTTACTTTAGAAACAGGTAAACGTTTGTTTTACTACAAAACCGAGATTTCCTTTCTATGGGTCTAAAGACTCTACACTAAAATCAAGTGAACTTCTATAATCGAAATTTTCCTTCAACAAGTTTGAAGATCTTAGATCTTCAAACTTGTTGAAGGAAAATTTCGATTATTTTTTTAAAAAAATAGTCGGAAGTTTATTATAATACGAAGAGGCCCACCAGCGGCCGAGCGGTAAATTCGCTGAACAATGGTAGTTTTATTGTTTCCCTTTATTAGGGAAACCGAAAATGCCTGAAAGTGTTTCTGCTAAGATCATGGATCACCTGCAATGCCTGGAGGAAGAGTTCACAAGAAGATATCAGGACTTACAAAAAAATGAGTCTAAATTCAGTTTGCTTTCTTACCCCATCATTGGTACAGCACCTAAGGAGCTGCAGCTTTTGTATTTATTAACGTGCAGTCAGATCATACTGTGAAAGACATGCTTAATGCTGTGACATTAATTGACATTTACAAATCTTTGTCTGCTGAAAAATTTAAGAAATTTGCTGGTAAAATGTCCTCTATATTTGGATCTACATATATTTGTCAGTAAAGTTTTTTTTGATTGAAGATGAACAAGAGTAAATATAGATGCTATGTGACAGACATTAACTAACCTGCAGACTGCCATATGAATCTCAATAAGCAATCTCAATCTTGATTAAAAAAATGTAGAAAAGTGTGATAGGTTACATTTGGCTCATTAAACTGATTCTAAAAATAAATGTGCTTACAACTATAGATGATATGAAATTAGCACAATAAATAAATTGAATAAATCTACCATTATTTAATTTAATTTATGTAATGAATTTTATGGTACAATAAAACTGCTAACCCCCGGTTCCGCAGTATGACGCCTGAGCAATATGGCCCTGGTCATTAGCATAGAAATGGCAACTGACCATTTCTATGCTAAAGACTAGTTTGTGGCAACCATCCGGAAAGCTCCCGGGAAATGGGAATACTACATCTAGTTGAATGGAAATTACCTATAATAGTCATGTTGGCATTCTGACAATTAAAGCATGTTCTGTCACTTAACGGGGGCCCACCAGCGGCCGAGCGGTAAAGTCGCTGAACACTGGTAGTTCGGTCCGAGGTTCGAATCCCGCGAACGGGCTGGCTGCATGGGCGTTTTCGTGGTTTTCCCCATGTGTAACGTGTATACGAGCCAGTTTCCCTTTGAAAGTCCTCCACGAAGGCATCCCTCTCCTTAGGAAGATAGCCCTCGAGGCTTTGCCATAATTACACACACACTGTCACTTAACGTTTCTTAATTCAAATCATTATTACTCAACATAAAATGAAACAAATAAAATTTAATGGCCCTTTCAACTTGATGTACAGACTGATACCTAAGAATAGAAATTGATTTCCGCATGTCACGGGAATAATATATAAAGTCAAATTACTTAAAATTCGTAATTTAAATTCCTATCCTATCACCTGGGCCCGTGAATTTTACGAAATGGTTTTTCTGCTAATCGGAAGATTGCAAGTTATCTGCTTACATCTGCTACAAAACAGAGGAGTTTGCTTAAGAAGACGACTAACGCTAGATCTTTTTTTTCTTTTTTTTTTTTCCTTAACTTAGAATATTATTCTGTTTAAAACGCTTATATATTCTCGTGACAGCAGACAGAGCAAAAAAAAGTAAAGGATAGATTTAAATATAAGCAAAAATGTTTTCTTTGAAATGAAACGTACGACTTTACTATATTCCTAACAAAATCATACAGGAAATTTATCCAAATAACAATTTCACAAGTTTTAGAGTTCAGTTTCATGATATCAAAGAACAAGAGATTAAGAACAAGACAAAAGATTATTATTTCACTATTATGTTCTCCTTCATAGGTATCTTAACCACTAGGCCAAACGATAATATAATTCTAACTACTGTGTTATTTTCTAATCTGCATAAATAATAATCTAACAGACTGAATGCTAGGAAAATTCAAACACTCCCGGTGTCATGTGTTAGTAAAGATAGGAAATCGAATATCTTTGAAGCCCAAGATACTTGAAGGCGGTAAATGACCTTGGAGAATCGAATTGGTGTTTGTTGAGTAGCATCCATACATCTTATCGCCGAGAAAAAGGGCGCTGTTCCCTGACTTGCAGATATATACGAGTAGATCCAAGACTTAGAGTATACCGTATATAGATCTATTTTCCAGCGCGAGCATCTGATGGGCCATCGGGATCACTGTAGAGTAAGGTGGTAAATGACCTTTAGCGTCGAAGAGGGGTCACTCGTGTAGAAGCCTAACATCATATCGCTAAGCCAAAAGCTCTCTTCTTGCCATTTTGCCTTATTCTTATAGCTTATCTTGCCAATATTCGAATCGGTCTTCGGTCTGAATTGTCATAGAGACCGCTACAAGTTCAATGTAGTAGAGTTTAAAAAATATCTGCAGTGGTTCTGTATGCCTCGAGCATTCTCAAACGTCCATTACTTTAACAAAGTGGCAGCACTCTGATAAATCATCTACTATAAGAAAAAACGTAGAGGTTGGAATACTTATAACTTGTTTTCTACTATAGCGTCATCCATGCAAATCGTATTGTACGTATCGCTGTGAGAAAATGAGAATTACTTCCCTAAAGATTTTATTAACATTCAAATGCAAATTTCGTACATTTAAATTGATGCATTTTAAAATACCAATCCACTTTACGCATCTTTTCTTAAATTGATTTTCCATTCATTTACATTAACAAAAAACAAAAGCAAAAATTATCTTCAAAGTACATCTGAAGATGCACAGAATTCAAAGTGACAGTCGGAACAGAATAGGAAAAGGAAATAAAAAGATAAGCTCTGTCATCTCTTTGTTAGCTAGATTGAATGCGCAATTTAAAATACGATTTTACATCGACACGATGCTTTGGAAACATAATTTTGAAAGAGATTATTAGAAACCATCTTCTTCTCCCCCTTTTCGCTCCAAATAAACAAGAAAGAAAAATTAGATTCTAGCATCTCAACATACCTCTTCCTCTCTTGATAAGCCAGCGTTTGAAGGTTCATTACGTATTCGTGAAATCCATTTGAATATTTTAAAGGAAAACAAAGCAACCGAAGCATATTCTTATTTATAAGCAAGAAATACATTATTAACGGTGAATGAACTTTAGAATAAAACGATTTATTCTTTTATAATTCTTTAAGCTGAGAGAGTTCTAAGCTATTTTTTGCATGCTGAAAGATTTTTTATGCTATATATGCATTTAATACCAGATAAATAGCATTTGCAATTGAGAAAAACGTTCTATTCGACAAATTCAACTATTTTGCA